ATCCCCATACATCTTCCCATGCTCACCTCCACTATATTAAAAAAAAAAGTCTAGGACCCCCAAAGCACATCTTAATTTCAAAACAGATCACATTTTTTCTCTTCAAGTGCATATTTCTAGCTTTCCTGACTAAATCTCTGAGGCTAGGTTTGTGGCTCAGTATAGTAGAACACACGCTTGTGAGGCACTGGGTTCAATTCTCAGCACCACATAAAAATAAAATAAAGGTACTGTGTCCATCTACAACTAAAAAAAATATTTTAAAAAAGAATAAGTGGAAAGGAGAAAAAAGGAAGGGTAAGGAAATATAATTTTAATCTGAAGTTCTTCATTCCTTTCCAGGTCTTTCACTCCCAAGCCACTCTTTATCCCAGACCTGTCACTCCAAATTTTCTTGGAAATTTGTAAATCTAATTTACCATAAATTCACCCATGAAAATTACCTTGTGCACTGTTAATCAGACCACAATAAATAGATTAAACAAAGAGTGATGTTATTTTAAGAAATCTGTAAGTTAGAGGACTTTTCAACACTATGTATCAGATATTGGAGACCACTATAAACCATCGTGTCATTACCAGAATTCTGTTATCCTCACATACCTTCCCACGCCCACCACTCAACAAGTTTCTTTTAAAAGAAGAACCTGAGAATTCCAAAAGCATCGCTTGCTTGCTCGCTCGCTCTTTTGATGGCCCTCAAATGTGTTCCTTGATTTCCCAAATATACATCTGGCTTTATACATCCTTAAATTCATTTCTGCAACACTTATCATTAACCCATTTCACCTGAGTTGACAAGTAGGACTGAAAGTAGTGTGAGGCAAGTGAGATGACTAGGGCCTAAAATTTAAGAAGACACTCTCAGAGGCATGCAAGTACCTCAATCACAAGGCTACTTGCCCATTCATGTATTCAACAAATATGGGCTGAATTAGGTTCTTTCCTATTCAAGATGTAGTTTAGTCAGGAAGGCAAATATGCTTAGAAATAAACACAATTTAGTTTGAGAGCTATTATAATAAAGTGTATACCATAGAAGTACTGCACAAGATAAAGTGTTAATATATTTTTAGCTTCTGCAGGGTTATTTTGATAATTCCCTTTCTGATGATATTTAATTTTGTGTTCTTGCTTTTTTCTTGATTACACTTGTTGATTTTTATCAAATTACAGCTGCATTATTTCTTCTCTATTTCATATATTTTTGCTCCTACTTTTTTTCCTTCTTACATAATTTAAAAATAATTTGTTATTCTAGCTTCTGTTTGATACAAGTACTTTAAAGTTACAAATGTCCAACAGAATACTGTTTCATCCCAGAGATCCTGATATTCTAGCTTTTATTATTACTTAGTTCAAAGCACTTTTTATTTGCTTTCCTTATGCTTTCTTCTTTGACCTTTGAAAGATTTATAAGTACAACATTTAATTTTGAAATAGTTGACGTGGGGATGGGGTTCTATATATCTTTCTGTTGGTTTCTAATGTAATAAATCATGTAGGAAACAGTCTGCATGATTTCAAATTTTAAAAAAGTAATGGAAATGCTTTTATATTGATTGTATTGGTTACATACATGTCAAAACTAATCAAATTACAGAAGGGGCACAGGGGTAGGAATGATAGTAGAATGAATTGGACATTATTAACCTATGGGCATATATGCTTACATGACTGTGTAACTCTACATCATGTACAACCAGAAGAATGAGAAGTTACACTCCATTTATGTATGATGTGTCAAAATGCATTCTACAGTCATGTGTAACTAATTTTAAAAAGTATTCAAAAGAAAGGAAAAAAATGTACCAGTCACAAATACTGCACAATCCAAATTATATGACAAATCTAGAGTAATCAAATTAATAGAAAGTAGAATGGTGGTTGCTGGGAGATGGAAGGGGAGGGGAATAGGATTGTCATTTAATGAATAGAGAGTTGATGTTTTGTAAAATGAAAGGAGTTTGGGAGATGAATTACATAATAATTTGAATGTGCATAAACATTTGAACAATACATTTAAAAGCAGTTAACATGGTGAATCTCCTGCTATGCTAATGTCATCCTTACTCTGCATTTTAACTACTTTCATTAAGCATTCATAAAAAGTACTATGTCACTTAATAATTGATGTTAGGTATAGTGGCATACACTTATAATCTCAGATACACAGGAGGCTGAGATGGGATGATGGCAAGTGCAAAGCCAGCCTGGGCAATTTAGCAAGACCCAATATCAAAATAAAAAGTAAAAAGGGGGTGCTGGGCCTGGGGCTCAGAGGTAGTGCACTTGCCTGGAATGTGTGAAGCACTGGGTTCAATTCTCAGCACCGCATATAAATAAATAAAATAAAGGTCTATCAACAATTTAAAAAATTTTAAAAAATAAATAAAAAGGGTTGTGATATTGCTCAAAGGTAGAATATCCATGGGTTCAATTCTCAGTACTAATGAAATTAACTAAGGAGTGATAGGGGATAATAAGAAGTCATTCAACTCTGTATTGTCAAGAAACCTACATAAGCCAAACTGAATAATATTTTTAAAAAATTAGAATCATTATTGTTTTTGCAAGTAGGGATCTCTCCAGCATAGTAGCATGTATGTACCTATAATTCCAGCAACTTGGGAGGCTGAGATAGGAGGATCTCAAGTTCTAGCCTCAGAAATTTACCAATACCCTGTCTCAAAATAAAAGGTAAAACAGGCTGAGGATGTGCCCCTGGATTCAATTCCCAGCACCACCAAAAAATTAAATAAAAATTAAAAAGGAAAGTTCATGAAAACAGAAATTAGTAAAAGGAAGGAGACTAAAAAGGGGAGGGAGGAGGGAGGAGGGACAAAAAAATAGAAGATGAGTGGAATGAATCTGACCAAGCTTTCCTATGTCCATATATGAATATACCATAGAGAAGTTCAATTAACCCCCAAAGCAATATAATTTATGCCTTCCACAATTATCAGAAATTCATTTTGCATTTTTAAATAATCTTTAGACCTGTGAGTACACACAGCAATTCTTGAACTAAAACGCACCGTTTTACAAAACTGTCAATTCGCATCATTCACAGTGAAGATTTAGCAAACTTCTGAGATTACTTCTATTATTATTATTATACTAGTCCAATTATTTTGCATTGTAGAATATCTCTTTACCTTTGAGTAGTGAGGAAATTGTGCTAACTAACTCAGCTGAATTAGACTCACTGATTTAAAGTACTTAGGAATGGAAATCATCTAGACATCAAGAAAATTTACTGGGTTTAAGAGATGATCTCTAGGGGCTGGGGATACAGCTCAGTTGGTATAGAGTGCTGGCCGTGCGTTCACAAGGCCTTGGGCTCGATCCCCAGCACCACACACACAAAAAAGAGATGATCTCTAGAGCCTATTTCCTAACTACAGTGAATGAAGCTCTAAACAAAGCTTAAAAGATTATCTAAAAATATTATACCATTGCATCCAAAAATTGAGTATTGATAAGTGTGATCAATTAAGACAACCAAATATTCTATAAATAAGTTCTCCTGTTTCATTGATAAAAATTTTAAATCTATTGGAAATTCCGTAGGTAAGACTGTTATTCATATACAAATAAAAAAAATAAAAATCCAAGCTACAAATCTTATATTTCACTTTAATTTTTTTTTTTTTTTTTTTTTTAGTTTTAGGTGGACACAATATCTTTATTTTTTATATATATATGTGTTGCTGAGGATCGAACCCAGTGCCTCACGCATGCCAGGCGAGCACGCTACCACTTGAGCCACATCCCAAGCCCCTTATATTTCACTTTGTTTATACACTTTTTTTAAAAATATGTTTTAGGTCTCAATGGACCTTTATTTATTTTTATGTGGTGCTGAGAATCGAATCCAGTGCCTCACACATGTTAGGCAAACGCTCTACCACTGAGCCACAATCCCAGCCCTATGAACTTTGGTCTCTACTTTTGATCATAGTAGTAATCTGCCTTGTGGACATAAAAGAAAACCTAATATGTTTCCTTTCTTTCTACTTAAGCATCCCATTTTCAAAATCATGCTCTACCAGACAATAAGAGACTATCAAAATCTTATTGGACTCATATACAATAATTTCCTGCAAATATTACTTTTTCACATATTATTTATATTCTTTCTTTGAAGTATTACAAATTATAGCAAATTATATTTTCCAAAGACAGCTACAAAAGTAGGGTCCGTCTCACTTGCCCTTCTTACAATGTAATACTGATACTCTTAACTTCAAGCAGTAGGGGTCTATGTACATACACCCTAGTTCACCCCTCCTCCAAACCTGGTGGACCTTGATAACTACCATAATCAACAGAATAAAGACACACTATGTGACTTTCAAAACTACATCACATATGCCATCCACCTTCACCTCCCTCTCTTAAGATGCTCTATTGGAACCCAGCCTCTAGGCTATGAGGAAGCCAAGCAGCCATAAGGGTAGGTGGTTGTGGAGGTGTTTTGGCCAATAGCCCAGGCTGAGGTCCCGGCCAACAGCCAGCATCACCATACAATGAGAGTGAACAAGCCAACCAACTATTTTAGCTCTCAGCACTGAGTCTCCCCTACCCTTCCAGCAATCCTACCTCATGTCATTTATTAACAGTAACAAGCATCCCTGTCCAAAAGAGTTTTGACTAAATTGCTGAATCATAAGCAAAATAAAGGATTATGTTTTAAGCCACTAAATTTGGGTTAGTTTGTAATAATAACAATCTCATAAATACAATTAGGAAACTGCACAAAAATAGAAGAAAAACAATTTTTATTTACTTTAAGTTTCACCACTGTTAACATTGACACATTTTACAATCAAGAAAATGTTGTGTCCCATCACCTAACATTCCAAATGCTTTGTTTTTACCAAAATAAAGGGTTACGTTTTTAAAGGCAGTCATCTAATTTTCATCTAAAAACAGGAAGGAATTTGGCATTTAACACTCAACCCACTTTTCTTTTCTAAACTATCTCTTTCACTTACCTGTCCTAAGTGAGGTGTCTAAGATTGCTGCCCCACCAATATTCCAATCTATGTATATGGATCAAGATCTTGGATGGCAACAGCAGCTGCACTGGCACTCTTCCCTGGAAGAAGCTGGTAAATTCCAAATCTGAAATTTTCAAGGAAAGGAAATCCTAAATACAGATATCTCCTTTCAATTTCAATCACTTACAATTCTACCCCTATAGTTAAGTGGGTATGGATGGAATCCATTACAGTAAACAGAAGTAAATGCACAGGTTTCACCAAAAACAGAGTTGGGTACTATGGATTCAAGTCCCCAGCTCTACTTTCTTAAGAACCATAGGATCTTCGTTAATTCACATGACATGTTCTCTGTACCTAAAGTAGGATTCTAGAGTCTGCAATTGTGTTACTTAACTTCTTTGAATCTTGATTTCCATATCTGCAAACCAGGAATAATTATAGTGCCATGGAGTTGTGGTAAATGGATAAGATGCTAAAAGTAAAAGAACAATCCACAAGAAAGTTCAATGTAGACACCTTCCAGGAGACAAATTAATTTTAATAAAATATCATTTTATTAATGGCCTAGTGAAAAAGTTTCTTTTTAACAACAATGTAAATATTCTTTATTTAAAACACTATAAAACTTAGTGTTACCTCTCTCCACTAGCCTCTAAGCAGCTTAAAGTCAGAACCAAGTTTGCTCCATTTACATTCCAAGCACCTAATAAGTAGCAGGTATCAATAGTTTATTAGAGAAAAATGACTCAGTGAAATAATAAAGAGTTTCTTTATTTTTATAGGGATTAAAGTTACAGTAGTTAAAAGTAAAAATTCTTAGGATTTTTATTCAATTAATTTTCAGTGTATAATTTAAGTGGCTACACATACCATATTTGAATCTGAATATGCATATACCTGTTTTAAGAAGCAAAATAAATTTACCACAGACAATGCAATAGTGGTTTTCCTGAATACAAAGACTGACAGCAATTAACATTTACTGGGCACTTATATTTGCCTCCTACTATTTCTAAGCTCTTTCTGAGGATTATATCATTTAATCCTGATTGACAATGTCTCTTATGAAACAGACTAATAACATTCTCACTTTACAATTAGTAAAACTGAGGCAGAGAGGATTCAAGTTACTTCCAAAGGCACAAAACTACTAAGTGGTGGGGCCAAGATTAAAAAAACAACAAAGGAAATCAGAATGTCTAACTCTAATGTCTTTACCTAAATAACTGCTTTTTAAAAAAACCAGACTACCAGAACAAGGAGCACTTGCCCCAGATGTTTTATATATTTTATAAACATATGTATGTATATATATGTGTGTATTATATATATGAATACTATATATATAAATTTTAGTTGTAGATGGACACAATACATTAACTTATTTTTATGTAGTACTGAGGATCGAACCCAGTGCCCCATACACAACTCCAGTTCCAATGATTTCTTTTTCTAACTAAGAATTCCTTTATTATGCATGCTAAATACAAATATATGATACAGTCCTTGCCCTCAAGAACCCTTCAGTGTGGTACCATAACATTAAGTAGTCAAACCACTCAGTGAAAGAGCACTTACCTAGCATGAGCCAAGACCTTGGTTCAATCCCCAGCACTCGAGGTGGGGTGAGGAGGGAGTAGTCACATCAAAACTTTATTGTTTTACATTCAACTATCTCAATGTTAGATTTATGTGTAATTTCCTTTTTACTTATTCTTAATTTCACATATTACTACCTTGAGTTTTCAGAGGATTACAGGAAGGGTTTATACAATTTTGAAGGAAAAATAGGTTAAAAACTGAGAGACATTAAAAACTTTTGTGTGGTCATCTACTTTTAGATAATGACATTTTAAACAAACAGAATAAGAACAACTGAATTTCATTTCTGATAGATGCTCTAACAAAACAGCTACAGATGTAATTTGCAAATTGTATTTTTAGCCAGTAATGTGTTTCAATTCGTTTTTTCACTGGCCTGATTCTTAAACAGACTATAATGTGTTTGATTTTTTTTTTTTTTTTCAATTTTAACGGAGAGCTAAATACCAACAAAAAAGAAATAACAAAAGGTGTAGCAAATGCTTTTCAAGACATGCAAGCAACCAATGTTATTATGGAAAAGACCTGACATATAGGCCCAAAATGAACATTGAAGTAGCCGATATAATTAAAGAAACATTTTAAATTCTAAGATTAAATCTCACCTTCTTCCAGGACTACACTTCACATCTTTCTGCCTCTATAACAGCACAATAAATTGTCTCCTTACTGTCTTGTAACTATTTTTAAGGAAACCAATATTCCAATGACATTAGTCAAAAAGACAAACTATGGGTGTTATTCATAATTTCTCAGTATTTTAGCATTAGAGTAGTTTAGGTGCTATTACTAAAGGAAATGTGAAAATGAATTATTTTTAGTTGTAAATGAACACAATACCTTTATTTTATTCATTTAGTTTTATGTGGTGCTGAGAATTGAACCCAGGGCCTCACATGTGCTAGGTAAGGCTCTACCACTGAGCCACAACCCTAATGAATTATTTCTAAAATAATACCAGAAAAGAAACAAAAATCTAAATTTCTAAAAACACAATTGAAACACTGGCACTGTGAATTCATAGAACCAAACTACAAAAGGTTGCTAATACAACAATTTGGCTTGTCAAAATTTCACCTATAAGGCCCGGGGTTGTGGCTCAGTGGTAGAGTGCTTGTCTAGCATGCATAAAACACTGGGTTCAATCCCCAGCACCACATAAAAATAAACAAAATAAAGGTATTGTGTCCATCTACAATATATATATATATATATTTTTTTTTTTTTTAATATCTTTTTCACCTATAGACAAATGTTCACTATCACTATAACACTTTATACCACTTCCAAAATTAAGATTCTTTTTACTAATTCTATGAAGAGAACACCCAGATTGTTTACGTGTGGGGCAGCTGCCACTGGCAGAAGAGTTCTGAGAGAACTTTAGCCCAACATTTAAACTTTGTTCAGTCTTGGAAAAGAATTTTGACTTACTCTCATTACAGAATATGGCTGTGGAAAAAAATATTATCTAATTGAAAAAAATTATAGTTTTTTTACTTTCTTAGTAGAATCACTATGCTAGTTACAGTAAATATGAGAAGTGGGAGAAACCATCCCAATTCCAAAGTACTCTTGGAAAATAAAAATATTTAACTCTTAAATTTCATTTATCTGACTAAATACTTAACTTTTATAATACTGAAAGATCCTTGTCTCTTTCAAGATTTAGAATGCCAGTCCTAGTACCTTTTCAAAGGTTTTAGACCCACTCACCATCCAACCTCAATTGTGGATGCTATTCAAAAAATAGAAGTTGATACTTTTGTCTCCTCTTCAAGTACCAACATCAACAGTTCTTATAATTTCACTTTACCAAGGCCAATTGTGATCTACAGCTCACAACTCTGACCCTGCTGCTGGCTTCAAACAACTCTTGTCAAAATGATAGCAGGAGCATGTCTGTAATCCCAGGGGCTCAGGAGGCTGAGGCGGCTGAGGCAAAAGGATTACAAATTCAAGACCAGTCTCAGCAATTTAGGGAGACCCTAAACAACTTAGCACAATTCTCTCTCTCTCTCTCTCTCTCTCTCTCTCTCTCTCTCACACACACACAGAGAAAAAAAAAGCAGGATACACTTCTTTTTCTCTTAATTATATACTCAAATCATTCTTGTTACCATGTGGTTCACAGACCAGTTGCATCACCAACACCTATAAATAAGCTTGTTAGAAATGCAAAATTTCAGCTCATACACTAGATCAACTGAATGAGAATCAGCTCTCTTCCTCCATAACTCCCCTCCCTCCCTTCCTTTCTTTTGTATTAATACTGGGGATTTCACCCAGGGCCTCCAACATGCTAGGCAAACTCTATCACTGAGTTTTATCTCTAGCTCTTTTTAAATTTTGAGACAGGATCTTGCTAAATTGCCCAAACTAGCCTGTAATTTGCAATCCTTCGTTTCAGCCTCTGGAGTAGTTGGGACTACAGGAGTGTACCACCACACCCAATAAAAATCAGCATTTTAACAAATCCTCAGATTATTCACACACAGAATTTTTAGAAGCACTGTCTAGTTCAATCATTCAGGATCCTTTCCTTCTTTATAGTTCCTTATATCCTGTCTGGCATATAAGGAACCACATTTTTTTTTCCTTTTGAGCATATTAAGACTCATCAAAAACTGGGCACAGTAGCACATGCCTATAATCCCAGCAGCTCAGGAAGCTGATGCAGGAGGATCACGAGTTAACAGTCAGCCTCAGCAACTTAGCGAGGCTTTAAGCAACTCAATTAGACCCTGTCTCTAAATAAGATGCAAAAAAAAAAAAAAAAGGGCTGCAAAAAAGGGCTGGGGATGTGGCTCAGTGGTTGTTTGCCCCTGAGTTCAATCCCTAGTACCAAAAAAAAATAAAATAAAAAAATAAAGTCTCACCAAAATAAAGCAGAGAAACTTTAAGAATATAGTTTCTTCACAACTTTATTTTCATAAAAAATTATAAACTCCATAAATCCTGGAACTTCACTGTATCGTTAAAACTAAAACAGTACCAGGCAAATATTTATAGAAAGAACAAAACAGACACTAGATAATCCCTAAAAGTCCTCCTTAAATCTTTGGCTCTTTTACTTGCTATGATACCAAAATTCTATCCAGAGAAACAGAAGGTAAAATATGAGATCGCCTAAATTTACAAAATGAAAACTATACTACTTTAAATTACATGATCAAGGTTACAAAGCAGGTTCACTATTAAGTTCAGAAGGCTAATATTTTATCAGATCAGTATTTCATTATTGCATCAGGTCAAATGACAATAACATTCTTCTATATATACATTAACATTCACAAAAACTCAACTACCCAGAAAAACTGTGCACTTGGAGCTTAAGTAAACCAAAAATGTGCACTCTACTGGAAAGAATCTGGACATACAAAATTAAAGATTACAAAAAATGATTAATTTCTTTAAAAACCAAAAGAACTGGGCATGGTGGTACACACCTGTAATCCCAGTAGCTCAGGAGGCAGAGGCAGGAGGATTGCAACCTCAAGGCCAGCCTCAGCAATTTAG